CCCATCCCAGAAGCCACTCCCACACCAGAAAGAAGAGAGACTGAAGAAATATACCTCAACTCGGGAAGTTTAGAGAAGCGGCAGAAGGGCATGGAAAATCCAAATAAGAGATCCTATTTTGTACACTACTTTTAATTTGTATATACATTCAGGAGTCTCACTCCTGTGGATCACCAACGAAAATATCCTGTACATGAGGTTTTGAACTGAGCACCCAATCGTGATACAGAGTTGCATTTTGGTAGTCCTTGCTGAAAAAGACCAAACCTTAACCTAAAGGAAAATAATCCGTACTTTTGAAGAGACCTATCAAAGGGGATTTAGTTTTCTGCTACAGATCACCCAGCCCTTTTCAGCCTTGTCGCTCTCTGAATTGCCAGATGACAATGTAAACAATTATTTTAAGTGCTTCTAAGAATGCGAGAGTCCTTTCTCTAAAAAAATGCTTCTGCTTTGATAATACAGATTGCTAACACTGCTTGTTTTTATGTTCTCAAGAATATTATAAAAGCACTTCACTAGGTAGCCTCATCATGGTTCCTGATGAAAAAGTAGTGTGTCCATCATTATAGGAGTCTGTCCATAATGCAGATATTCCTGTTCCGTTCAGCTTCTATCCCGATGAAGGTCAACACTAACAATCCAAAGATCACTTTTCTTTTCACATGGGTAACTCTGAAATTTCAGACAGTCTTGAAAAACTGAAGAACAGGACCCAGTCAACATTTTTCTCACCGGGACAGAATCCCTTCTTCTCATTCAGTCATTTCTGCCAATGTCTGCACAGCAAGCTCACTTGTCCCGAACAACAGGAAAGATTGCAGCACAGCTATGGAGGGGTTGGGGATATTGTATGCTGACGAGCATCAAAGCTGCCTTGGAATTTGCCAACTGTAAACCATGTGTTCCTTTCCCTTGCAGAGCCTCAAAAAAGGAAGAGGCAGCTAGTTTGTAATCCGCTCAGGTATTTCTGCTATGCGTCTCAGCCAGCCAACGCGAATCATCTTCTGACAGACAAGTTATGCAACCTCCAAAACACTACATTGCAGGCTAGTTTATGGGAAAGGAGTAGGTCTTGTTTCTGGTAAGGCCATCGCGTACACAAAATGATGTCCAAGAGTGACAAATGCAAACAACAGCAGCAACAAACAGAACTTGTGCCTCCGAGAAATCTCTTAGGAATAAACAGGAAGCGTGTTAGGATTCAATGACAAGCAGCACAGCTAGTGATTACTGGTGCAGTACCACACTCAATGCAGTTTGAGTTTGGGAAGCTTTAAGAGGAAGATTACTGCAGAAGCATGTGGCTTCATAATTAGAAACGTGGGCCAGATTTCCTGACCAAAGCCCACTTTGGGTATGACAGCCATGTAAGCTGCAGGTCAGGCCACACTGACCTAAGAGCCCTCTGGACCCTCCCTGGGACACAGAGATGGCACAAGCCAGAAACTCCCCAGCCCTTCAGTCCCTCCTCAGTCTCATAATGCCCTCTGCAAAAGCCAGGGCATGTTCAAACTGCTACTGCACTGCAGCTCTACCCTCAAAAGCTGCAGGCAAGCCAGCAGAGATGAGGCAGCACTGCCTTACAGGGTATCAATCAACTCCTAGACAATCTGTAAAAAAAAAAAAAGGTAAAAAAAAAAAATATTCTCCCTACTTCTTTCTTTTCCTGATATTGTGCACTATCCTGTTACTGCAACTACATGTTCTCTATGCTGCCTCTTTTTATTGGTGAAAGTTGCCCTGAGCTTTAACAGCCCAAGCCAGGACAGGTCATAGCAAAGCCAGCTGCCAGCAAAAATTATGTTTTCTCTAATTGTGCATTTTTCAAACTTGATCTGGTACCTAAACATCAACCGTGACTTTCATTTTTCTTGTGTCACTAGCAGTAACAAAGGTCTCAAAGGTCAAATTATGCCTCCAGTTACACACGTACAGCTCCACAGAGCTCATATTCCCCCACCCCCCCAAATAATACAGGGGAAACCTCAGTGGGGGTAGGGGAAACAGCCTAGTGTAACAAGCTGTTCTTTGTTACTTTCTTGAGAAATATGCAAAGCTGGCAGTCAGAAAGCCTATTTTAACTAAGTTTCTTACAAGACCGTTCACTAATTTTGCTATGACTCAAACAAAATTCTGCAGTCAGTGACAGTCAATGTTTCCACAACTCACACATGACTTTTGTACATCTGTGTTTCCTGGGCATAGATGCATATGAAGGATAAACTTTGCCTAGCTTTTTTTTTTTTCATTCCATACAAAAGGGAAACTCTTCTGCCCCTGCAGCACCAACTTGAGCTTTCTGCCTCCCAGCCAGTCTTGCTCTAGAGGCCTGACTCCACACACAGGAAAGCAGTGGGCTTCAAATGGATGAGTATTGCCTTCCTTGGGGTCTGCTGAAAACAACTTAACCTACATCTGCAATCAGGGACATCCTAGAACCTCTTCCAGTGGGTTTCAGAAGCAAAGAGCAGCTGTACATCTCCAGTATTTGATATGAGGGCCTTTTATGAGCTACAAACCAGCCACGCAGTTATACACGGGGCACTTTTCCGGATACAATGACCATCCTTTAAATTCCTTTACAACAAAGGAATTCAGAGTAAAACCCCTGTCACACAGGTGAAACATAGAACCGTCACATAGGTGAATCTTTAAAAACACATGAATGCAAACAGCATTAGCTATTTCTTCTAAAAATAAAGCTTCAAGTAACAACAAAGTATGCCAAAATAATACCTCTGCTAGCATTTAAACAATTTTGAACCATTATTAAAGCTAAAGGTATCTCACCCTCTGTTAAAATTATTAAGGATAAATGTTATTTTGCAGACAGCATTAGTGTTGCAGGATGTTGACTGAGATTATCAAAAAAGAGACAGATCTTTGTCAGATGTCTGGTCACAGAAGTTAAGATTTCCTAGAACCACTAAGATATTTTTAAATCATAGCAATAAACCATAACAGAGTATTCCTTACTAAGCTACTGGGATGTAATCCCAAGTAGAAAACCTGCTTTGGACTACAGTGGGAATTGGGTTTGACCATTGATGTTCCGAAAGGCAAAAATAAAAAGCAAAACATTTTCTCTGATCACTTGTTAATACACATCTTTAATAATTACATTAAACTGTAACTTATGGATTTTCAAGTATTATGTGCACATGAATAGTGACAACAGGGCTAGGTAAAGCATACTTCCAGGAGAAGCAATCGGGAGGAAACCAGTAAGATAAAAGGAATAGGAAAGCAATATTAATCAATTTTTTTCCATCTCTCCTTTACAAATTTCACTGGACTATGCAAACAGAAATTTCTCAAAGGCTTATAACTTGAATAAGTTTGAGGGACTTTTCATAGGAACAGCATGAGGCACACTAACAATAAAAAAAATGCCCCTTATTCATCAAAACATGTCAGGTATCTACTCCAAACCACAAATACATTTCAGTTTTGCAAGAAACTATTCTAAATTTTTCTCTATGTTTACTGTTGGAGACAACAGAATCAGTTTTATGTACTGAAAAAAATACAAGCTTGTAAACCCAAGGTTCTTCTAATTTCTAGTTATAAGCATTATTCCTTTAAGTTCCATAACAGCCAATAAAAACCTCCAGGTATACCAAGCTTTCAAGAATCCAGAACTTAAATAAGCAAATAATTTAAATAATTTTTGAATTCTTTTATTTGCTAACTTGTATTCTAAAATGTTAAAAGTTGTATTTCAGATCTTTCCCCAAAGCTACCGAAGTAGATCAAAACACAACAAAGATGGAACTCAACATTCCCATAATCATTTAAAATCAAGAACTTTAAGGTGAATATTTAATGTGGTAAGATGTGATAGTATACAAATAACTGACTGGAATACTCTAAGAGTTGTGTATAGTTCATATTTTCTTCTTCATTATCAGATTTTTCTAGAAAGCAGTCTTTGTTCTGAGAAAGTTTACACTTATTATACTATTTGTCAATTAAACCATGTCTTAAAACCCAGTAATTAATGAAAAATAAGAATGGACAGTCTCCAGTGCATCTAAACTTAAACTCTACAACCAACAATTAACATTAATTTTTTCTTCCCACAAATATCTGTTCCTAGGTTCCCAGTTTAATATGCTGTTCAAATCATCTCACTCCTACAATCCTTTTAAGCACAATTATAAAAAAACCTACAAATATTTTCACCAAAACCAGAGAAGTTAAACACTACAAGCTCAGGAACAACTAAAATACATAGGGCAGAATTTAAATACTTATTTTCTCATTAGGCAATTTATTCTTTAAATCCATGTGATGGTGATTATTTTTGGAGAGCAAGACAAGGTCAAAAATGGTTTGCCTTGCAGCAGCTATCACTAACTCAATACACGTCTTCATTCCAAGTTACCATAGGCACTGCAACCAAAGACTACAAAAAAATCTCCAAACTCCACTTTGAGATCATTCACCAGAATGTAGCTTTCTCTAATTTTAATTCCCAGGGCAAAATCCTGGCCTCAGTGAACTCAATGGCAAAACTTTTGAGTAGCCCACCAGAGACCTTTTGAAGCCAGTTACCTCTGCACCAGCTCCTCTTTGAAATGCGCTTTTCTTAAGCGACATTTGCCCCAGCCAACACTCACCTCTTTGTGGGACTGAAATAGTTCAGCTTTTCCTGGCTGTCTCTGTGGAGTTAGTCCTCTTAACATTGCATGTGTTAACAATCCATTCACAAAAGTTCCCTTCAGACTACACCGATGGCCATATTAGTGTCTAGCACCCAGACACCCCCGGGATGACACTGCACACCTCAGTGACACGCATCTGTAGTTGGGAGTTCTTGCTTCATCTAAGCAAATTTTCCCCCCAAACAAGCGCCCAACTCTTGTGCGGTCTGTCTCCTCTTTTACCTGCACTTCAGAGGAGAGTCCAACTGAAGCGGGTTCTTTCACTGTTCGTATGTCGTCATACTTCCCCCAGGTCCCCTGAAGTGAGACATTCCTGTCATCTCAGCTTACCTTCTGTATGTTTGTCTGCAGATCTCAGCCACATTGGACCACGGGCAGCTCTTCAGTGCTGAATAGAAGGCAAGTCCTCGGTGGGGGGCTTTCCACTCTCTATTCTACAGCAAGAAGCCACTCAGTTCCTGCACGATTCAAAGACATCTGCAAAAGCAAGAATGTTTCCATTAGTGAAAAGCTCCTTAAAAACGAAAGAGCCTTTCCTGTGATGGTCCCAACATTGAAGGGTCTTCAACACCACACATTAGAAGTTACAGAGAGTGGACAGATAGCACTTTCTGCCTTCAGATACTACATCCGTTAACTTTTTAGGATGACACCCATCCCTGAGACAATGATTTCATGCTTCTAATGATATTCTTATAGTTTAGTAATTTTACAGAAGAAGTGAAGACAGAAAGGAATCTGATTTTTATGTCAAACTGCATCAAAAACAGTGATGTTGACTATTAACATGTTGACTGTGACAATATTTCAACTGAGGAAAAAAAAATCCTAAGACATTTGTCAAGGAATAACAGACTAAACTAGAGTCAGCAGTTTGAAATAACTGGCACACAGGTCAGTCATAGCCTAAACAAAGATTTTCTTCAAAGTTGGAATAAGAAAGCCTTTTCAATTTTATTTACAATTTTCAAGTATTCAGAAACAGACTCTACTGAAGAACAGTGAAGGATAGGGGTTTTTTTCCATTCTAGCAGAGATTCACAAGAGATTTATGAAGGTTTTTTTAAGAACAAGTAAGAATCATCAGGTCACAGAGGCCAAGTTGCCCTCTTACTGCAAAAATGTGAATGCTACCAGTCTACAAAATATCAAGAATTTCCTCATGGTACCACATATAAGGCAAAGTCTTTATATTTATTGTTATAGGACAATCAGCTACAGGGTCCTTTTTAGAGCAAAAACACATGAAATTTTTAGCAGTCATTCTCTGGAGGGAAATTTCAAGGTGACTAGAACAGTCCTTTATATGGATAAAAATATGCTTATAATTAGAACAGGCTTCTTATATGATCATTTTGCATTTTTTATTCATGTTAGTAGATTGCAGAAAAGGTATAGGTACTTAAAAAGACACAAAACTGTAATTGATGTTATTTTAATTGTGTATTATAAAGAAACAACCTACATCATCCTGTTTAGAACTAAAAAGCTACACTGCCTCCTTGGAAGTCTGAGTGACTATGGGGAGCTATTAATTAGTAAGTAGGTAAAAACTACATGCAAAGTTCACGAGTTATTCCTGAGTTTCACAGCAGCACTGGAAGATTATCACACAAGATGCAGCAAGTGAGGTTATGCAAGAATTTGAGAAGTGAAGATGTCTCAGATGAAAGGGGTAAGGGCAAGCTCTGGTCTGTGGAATGTCATGTCAAAATTGACTATCTAGAGTTTTGAGTCATTTCTACAGGAGTTTGTGACTGTGACCCTGCTCTTGGTGCAGCCAGTATCTTAACTATGGAGTCTACCTGTCTAAGTGCACTCAGGCAGCCACTAACAGGGGTCAGCTGGAGATAGCTGCTTTCCCTCAGCTGATAACCCAATGTCCCAGTTCAGTCACCCCACGGAGAAACACAGGAGATGCATCCTACCCCCTACGTTGCCTGCATACACAGGAGAGAGGGGGCAGACCCTCCACAGAGTTCTGATACGTGATTTTTACTTCAGCAACGTGAAGTTAGCCAGACCCTGGCCAGTCTGATCCCTGAGCCTACCACATTACTACTGCCCCTGCTTCATTAAAGCAGTCTAAGAGCTACATGGAACTATCCTGTCTTCAGGTATTATTTGCATATTAGTAAGCTTGTGGTCCTGGGAACTGGCACTGTCCCCTTTCCAGAAGAGAGAAAACAGAAGAATTTCTGTTTCTGGGGCTGTCAGTCTAGCTTGCTTGCTTGTTTTGTTTGTGGTTTTGGTTTATTTGTTTTAAACAATAATGCTATTAGAACTGTATGCAGAGACAAAGAAAACTATGTATATTCCGATCAAGATGCTCTCAATTTCATTGCAGGAGGCTCTGAATTGCCTTTTGAAACTGAAGCCAAATTTTACAGATATTCATATGAAACCTCTTTGACTGAAGAAATGAATAATAAGATGCAAACTATATCTTCTAATAAAATTCAGTATGAAGTAATACATAAAATACTTATGGGAAAACATAAGCATATATTACATTAAGTGGGTTGGTAATTAGCAGACCTGGAGAAGTGCTTGTAGGCCCAAAACTTATCAATTCTCCCTCCTCCCAGTTATGTCAATTCTGCATTTTTTCTAGAATACTCTGGTCATTCCCCCCACATACACCTCTTTGTGATTTGTACAAATATCCAGATTAAACCCTACTCTGTCACATTCAGTAGAGAATTAAATTTTCAGTGAACTAGCAGTAATAGGCAGTCCCAAAGACACAGGGTGCAAGGATCACTGAGTCTCATCTGAGGAAGCAATTTTTTTTTTTTCTATTAAAATTTGAGAATCAGCATCCAGCCAGATTAAACCAAGAGAGAAATGCAGTATACCAGGCAGGGAAACACAGGTTAAGGTAGAAGTTTAAACAGGAATGCTTAGACTGGAAGGTGTGCATGATCTTACATAAGGGTTACAAGATGAAAACTAGACTAATTTATTGTGGAGGATAAAAAAGGGGACAGAGCATCAATAGTCCCTATTTAGGCTACATCCCTTCTTTGCCTTGGGCTTGCTTTACACACTTGCAATTTAAAAAAATATAACAAAGCTTTTGAAATCAAGCATATAAAACACCTCAGTTTTGCTGTAAACCTTCTGATACATCAGCCATTATCATGTTAAGCACAGGAATCTCAGACTGTGAAGGGAATCTTTCTGCTCTCACTGTTTAGCTGTCTCCTTCCCTGGGGCCTCACTTGGTCTCCCGATTTACTAAATTAAAGACTATTTAGTAACAGTGGGAAGATTATTCCTATCAGTCACTGTTCAGTCCAGGTCCTCAATAAAGTGTTACTGGTGAGGCTGCAAAACCTTGGAGCACAAGCTGGGGTTTCAGGATCCAGTTGCCTCAACAAATGTCTTGTATAAAGAGATGCAAAGAAGAAAGTCTCATATCTGAGTTGGCAACAAGACACCTCAAACTTGGGAGCAATGCTTGAAAAAGAAAACAGTTTTAAGGGAAGTATCTCATAAAAGCAGGTATTTGTCTCCTCACACAGTCCCACCCACTTCAATTATCGTTACTGTGAACTGCAGAACTTTCTAACAAAGCAAATAATTGAATGACAGCAGAAGGGTGGGGGGCTTATTTATTTATGCATTTATTTTTTATTACAGGAAGTTTCTGGAAGGCCAGACAGTCATTTCGATCTAGCAAAAAAAATGGTGGGTAAACAGCTACTGGAAGATTTTTCAGGATTTATGAAAGCAACTGTCCTCTGCAAGAGTTAGATTACAAGGAAGAGGACACCATCCTCAATGCCGCAGAAAGAAAACATGACTGGGGTCACTGTCACTCCAGCCTAATACAAAAGTCTGTTACTTTGCCATCAAAAAATCAGTGACTTCAGACACAATCACTGTCCTGGACCCGCACATTGCACAACGTCATCTATAAAATTACTCATGTGCATAAGTAGTCCCACATGGTTCAGTGGGTCTCATTACGTAAGTGTCAGCAGGGGTCTTAGGTCAGGATACTGCATTCCTTAAACCAGACAGATTCCCATTGAAGTGATTAGGAGTGCTTCATTTGCCAAGTAGAAAGAATTCCACAGGTATTTGTTTGAAGTGTGATACAAATTTACTTTGGCCACATTTCCACCTTTCTTTAACGTTTGCAGGAAAAAGCTGTTTCAGTGCATGGGTATTACTGACCAAAGCAAATGTCAGGTTCATATTCACAGGTATTTGCACTAGAAGTTTGGGTACGCTGCTAGTGCCACACACATTAGTTATCTGACCAAATCATAGCAAAGCAACAACTCAAATTTCTATCTCACACATGCATTTATTGATTCCTAAGAGCACGTGAGATTCTTGTTAAGAAAGAAAGCATTGCCCTTTTGCAACTGAAAGATGAGCTACATTCAGTGCCAGGTAAATCGTTTGGTTTGAACAGTAAGCAAGAGCTGCAACAGTGAAACACAGTAAATTAAGCAGACACCTTGCTAAATCAGCAACATAGGATTGAACCCTTAGTGCTATTCACTACAAATGGATCTACTGGATTATGGGTCATTAGTTCAACCACTTTTAACAAGTACAACTAAATAGGAATGTTATTAAACATTTATCTTCAGGGGCAGATTTACTGGAGAAGATAAGGAGATTGTAGAGAGTTTCCATTAGCACTGCCTATTTCAGCATGCATTCCTGTCATAAGCACCTTTCATTCATAAAAATATCCCAGGAACCCAAAGCATCCTACAGATGTCTGCCTTTACATGCCGGTGACTGCACCCTGGCACCCTCCAGCCACTAACCCGTTACTTCCAATACACATTATTTGATAACCTCTTGCTGCTTTCCTACCCCATACTGTCAAGACAACAGGGGCAAACCGTTTTTAAAAAATACAACCCAAAAGCTGAATCTCCCAATATTCAGTCAGTCCCAAGCGACACTGAGCTTGCCACTAACAGAAGGCCACCTGCATTTTTTGAAAACCAGAACAATCATTTAGAAATTTAAATTCTGTCTCCTAAGAGTTTATTTAACTCTTCCCCCGGGCCTCCATGTCTGACCCCTGCCTCCTTCCGACCCTCCCACTGGCTAGAGCAGGAAGGCACAAGGCAAAGACCAGGGCCTGCCTGCGAGCCCAGGGGATTACTTAGAAAAAAACCTAAACAAAGAAATTCTCACAGATCTTTTGCAGATCTTAATCGCAGGTCTTGAACAGGCTTCCCAACCAATCTGTAACACAATGGCACCAACAAAAGTGGCAAAAAGAGATCTCCCTCAACAAGAATGGTCTGTCAGAGCAAAGACAGAGAAAGAACATTAGAAGAGAAAACAGGAACAAGTGGATCTTACTAACTACAGCTGAAATCATCACTGACTTTATAAGAAAAAAGGTAATTGGACACACAAAAGCAGTCTCTTTCCCTTCCCTCTGAGGTCAGTTTGGGTTCTCAGAAATTGGTACCTTGGCCCATGTGCCATACAAA